AGCCAAGCGGCCGATGCAAATGGTAGTGCAGGAATCACGCCCAGGATGACATTTCCCGCTTGTTCCAGGAGTTGGGGGTACAACGGAGCAATAATTGGCCAAGTCTCTGATTTTACGGAGTTGTCGGTAAATCCATAACATCGGTGAGAGTGAGCAGTGTTAAGGAGCAAGATGAGGCCAGGTGAGGGGGAAGAATATTGTATTCCAGGTGATTGGTGATCGGGGAAGGTCTCCTGTAAAGGTGCTGATGAAGCAGAGACTGGGAGGAAGGGAGGGAGAGCCGTAGACGGCCTTCGGGAAAAGCATGCCAGCACAAGGAACAGCAAGTGCAACAGTGCTGAGGGGGAAATGCACGCGGCGTGTTCCTAGGGGTCGAGGAGTCCCGTGACCCTGGTAAAGTGCCTCCTCGCTGGGTTTGACACACAGCGCTCATGAGAGGTGCCTGCTGTTGCGATCTCTGTTCTCCTCTGGCCTGTGAGGGGGTTGGGGTCACGCTCAGCTTCCAGACGAAGGACCTGAGGCTCCAGGAAGTAGCTTGTGAGCTTGCTCTCCTGCTCACACCTGAAATGGCTAAAAGAGGAGTGAAACTTTCAACTCCATCATGAGAGGCAGAGGGCTTGAGCGTCGGAGCTTCAGGGAGGACACCGTCCACTCTGAAGGTCAGCCAAGCGGCCGATGCAAATGGTAGTGCAGGAATCACGCCCAGGATGACATTTCCCGCTGGACGGAGGGGAGGATGTTATGAATGAGAGAGGACCTGGGGCAGAGGAGAGGGGCAGGAAAGGGAAGCTGGAGACCAGTGAGAAAAAAGACAGGGGCCTCGTAGTGTTGCCATGCTTGGGCCCGATTCACCTGAATAAACTGATGGTCCTAAGATGTGCTCACCTTTTCCGCTTCCCTCCCCTTTGTCTCGCGTCCCTTCCCTTTTGTGCCAGAGCAGTTTTGTCCTGCAGCTACCATATCAGGTGCGGCAGAGCAAGGAAGCAAGTTGGGGGTCAGACCCCAGCACGGGGAGGAGGCGTCCACACTGGGGGACAGGCTGCAGGGGTGAGAGAGCCCCAGGCGGCCAGGAGGATGTCCCAGGGTTGGGTGCTGGAAGGCTAGCTGGCTCAGGGGTGCAGTGCTGAGGAGTTGAGGCGGGCAAGAGCAGGGGAGGCTTCAGCACTGCGTGTGAGGAGGGCTCTCTGTGGGGAAGGGCTGGCTTACATACATTGGGACCCATCAGCTCGGGAAATGGACAGGGCGATGGGAGCCAGGACTCTCGCTTGAGAAAGGGGAGTTCCCAATGGGGCAAGAGGCAAACCAGAACAAACTCGGAGGTGGTATGCTGAAGTCAGAGGCCTCCATGTGAACTCATGGTTTCAGTATGTGTACACGAGAATGAGTGGGAAGGGTGACACAGATGCATATGTTTGTGTGTGTGCGATTGTGTACATGCATATATTCCAATACTGCTGGTTCCAACAACATTGCAATGGCACTAGTACACCTAGCCCCCGGGTCCTGGCTTCTAAATACGACTCTCCACTGAAGGATTGGCGCCAGCGCTGCGGGAGGGCAAGGAGGACAGAATCCGGCTCAACTTGTGGTGTCAGTACTAAGAGTAAGTTCAGGGAATGATGGGAGCTGTCAGAGGGCACAGAACATGGCTGGAAGGGATGCCCACTTGACAGGGGGGACAATGTTTTTCAGCTTTGACATATTGACGTGTAACACATGTACGTTTAGAGTGTACAGCGGGATGATCTGATACACATTTATATCATGAGGTGATGGCCACAGTAAGGTGTGTTAGCATCTCCATCCCCTCACATAATTACCATTTTGTGTGTGTGACGATAACATTTAAGATCCACTCTCTCAGCTACTTTCAGTAAAGAACACAGTGTTGCTAATTAGAGTCATCTCGGGGTACATCAGATCCCCATGACTTACCTCATAGCTAGAATTTGGAAATTTGCTCAACATTTCCCCCATGCCCTGACAACCACCATTCTAATCTATATTTCTATGAGTTTGGTTTTTGAGTGTGCACATATGCAAGAATATCCAGTATTTGTCTTTCTCTAAGTTATTTCACTCAGCATAATCCTGCCAAGTCCACCTATAGTTGCAAAAAGCAGGATTTTCCTCTATTTTATGGTCGGATAAGACTGTGTGTGTGTACCACTTCCATGGATGCCCAGGGTGGCTCTGTACGAGTCGTGGCTCTCGGCTCCTGGAACGGGGCCTTCTCTGTGAGAACAAGCCCTCTCCAGGCTAGGCCACCATGGGAAGGGACCAGGCTGGGTCCCTTAGCTGCTGGAGAAAGCTGTCCGGTTTGGGACCGCAGCTGAGATCAGGGAAAGGACAGCTGAAAGCAGGAGAGGGAGAGAGATCTCCTCAGGTCAGGGTCCGCGTCTCATAGTTGAAGGGAAGACATTTGCCCAAGTGCTGGTTGCTCTAGGCTTGCGGGAATGGAGTTGGGTGCGGGAAAGGACCAGAGGCTGAGAGGGTGGGGATAATGCGTCCCATAATCTCACTTCATGGGTCTCGCATGGTCCCGGAGAAAAGCCTGTGTCATTATGGGGTCTAAAATGTCATCTCCTGTGCCTACCTCCACCCCCCGGCCGTGAAGAGAATGGATTGGAGATACAGTGCACCCTTCAGGGAGGAAGGCCAGTGTGGTTGTGAGGTCGTCTCAAAGGTCCCCTGCCCTGCCCTTGGCTCTCGTGTTCATTATGTTCTCTGCCTCTGAGGTTTCCCGGGGTTGTGAGGTTGTCTCAAAGGTCCCCTGCCCTCGTGTTCATTATGTTCTCTGCCTCTGAGGTTTCCCGTTGGTCTCCTCAGCCGTGTGTCTCACCGGAAAGGGTCAGTACATTAGAGACCGGCTGGCTACCAAAGGATTTAATAATGTTCCCGAGAGTTTCCTGGCAGAGATTAAAATCACGGTTCCTAGGGCACTGTGGTGGCCACACCAAGTGGGATTCCCACCGCGTGGTTCACAGGGGGCGCATTTTTCAGTTCCTGGGTTCCCACTTATGTGGACAACTCGTCTGGGAACTACTGGGACAGGGCAACGGTCTTGTTTCCTGCTGCCAGGCTGCCCTGTCCATTGTGAGGATGTAGAAGTGACCACCGTCTGGCCTTCTCCGATGCACAGACCCAAGGCAGGACATCCCGGCCACAGGCTGCCGTGCTGTCGGCTGGACTGAGGAGGCTCTCAGAGCGTCATTTCCACAAAGTGTCCTGGCCCCACTCCTGTCAAGCTCCCACCTAAAGGATTTCCGTTGCAGCCAGCTGCCTATTCACTGTGCAGTCAGTCCCATGCTCCAAAATCAATCTGTGTTCCATGTGAGCTGTAAATCAAAATCCTTTGCAGTAGCCATTGGATCTTAGCCTTGATGCAACAAACCCGCAACACAGTGAGTTTCCCGCAACGCCTCCAGGCCCGTACGGCTGGGCAACACTGAGCAAGTCTGTTAACGTGTCTGTGCCTGCTTTTTCCATTAGTGCAATGGAGACGCTCGTTAGCAGTAACGTAACAGTTACTTCAACACAAGCCATGGGCTCCCTCAACAGTCCAGCTGATAACTGAGAGGGTTCCTAAGTGACCTATGGGCGGTGGTAGTGCATACAGCATGGATACACTGGACAAAGGATGCTTCTCCTTGGGGTGGGCTGTGGAGTTGGATGGCGAGAGATTGCTTCACACTATTCAGAATGATGTGCAATTTGAAAAATATGCGTTGTTTGTGTCTGGTATTTACTCTCTGGATTCTTTTCCAAAGGGCTTTAACTCCGCTTAGATTTCTATAAAAGATGTTGGGCTATGCACACTCTTTCACCCGGGAGAGTTTTCGTAGTTTATGGTTTTTGCGTAATTGAGCCTCTTGTTGTAAGTTGCTGCATTTGTATATGTAGAGTTGGATGTAGCGATACCATATTGCCCTTTCCTATTTGCTGGGTCTGTAGGAAAACCACCCCTTTCATTCCTCCTACTGGTAACTCGTTTCTCTCTCATCTGCAAAGAACCAGTTCCGATGGAATTGGGTTTCTCTATTTTTTGTTAGAAATTTCATTAATTTCTGTTCTTATTTTTACTACAATAAATTTATACTAAAGTAAATTTTTATTTCCATAGTCTTGAGCAACCTACTGACTATACGAGCCGTGGGCAAACTACGGCCCGAGGGCCAGATCCGGCCCATTTGAAATGAATAAAACTAAAAAAAAAAAAAAGACCGTACCCTTTTATGTAATGATGTTTACTTTGAATTTATATTAGTTCACACAAACACTCCATCGATGCTTTTGTTCCGGCCCTCCGGTCCAGTTTAAGAACCCATTGTGGCCCTCGAGTCAAAAAGTTTGCCCACCCTTGGACTATGCCAACAACCAATTAGGATGAAGGTTAACATTAAAAGGGTGTGTCAGGCCTGGCCGGCCTAGCTCAAGAGTTGAGCATCAACCTATGAACCAGGAGGTAACGACCCTGTCAGGGCACATGCCTGCCTTGTGGGCTCGATCCCTAGTGGGGGGGGGGAGCATGCAGGAGGCAGCTGATCCATGATTTTCTCTCATTGGTGTTTCTCTCTCTCCCCCACTCCCTTCCTCTGAAACCAATAAAAGCATATTTTTAAAAATACCAGGGTGTGTCAGCATGGTGCAAATGCTTAGAACTGAGTAAAGGTCTACGTCAGTGGTTCCCAAACTTATTTGGCCTACCGCCCCCTTTCCAGAAAAAAATATTACTCAGCCCCTGGAAATTAATTTTTTTTATTTTAATAGCAGTTACTCATCGCCCCCAAATGCACCTGTGGCCATCACCCCCCCCCCTGGATCGCTGCAGCGCCCACGGCGGGGGCGGGGGCGGTAGCGCCCACTTTGGGAATCACTGGTCTACGTTTTGGAAGTCTAGGAGTGCTTACGAGAACACCTGTTAGTCACACGTTGATTGCTGTTAAAATTATGGTGGGAACAGTTTGCAAAAAGTCAGCAGGGCGTTACCATGGCCGGTCATGTTGCATCCCATGTCATCTCTGGGTGCATTGATGCACCGCTTTTCTAAAACCCTGCATGTAAGCCATCAGTGTTTGAGGTCTCGGGGTGTATTACCCGTTTAACACGCAGAAGGATCCAGGAGGTAGGGCTCCTTACACTCTCCATTGTGCAGCTTGCAAACACAGGGACAGGAAAGTGAGGATGAATGGTGCTGGACTTTCCTTCTTCTTTCACCAGCATGTGTTGCAGTCTGGGTTCATCGGGCTCTTTGAGAACCTTCTTCACCTTCCTGTCCAGACCCAACGACCACCTGGAGCTTTGAGCAGGGACTAGGCCTTCATGGATCCACCCCAGGACGCAGCTCAGCATTGATTTCTGCATCTTCCCCGATGGCCTCAGAAGAGTCTTCCTGGGAAGTCACGGCAGCCTCTCCTCCTTCCCTCCCAGAACTGCCCATGGGGCCTCGGTGAAGGGAACCCCAGTCCTGGCACCACCTGTCCTGCCCCTCTACCGGGGGCTGCTCCAGCAGCGGCACAGAGGTGAGGAAACCCTGCAAGAGAGGCCCTGGGAAAGGACAGCGTCCCCTCAGAGAAAAAAGCATTTCTGGGACACCTGAGACGGAGACACGTTGATCCCGTGGCCCCTTATCGGGTCAGAGGGAAGCCGGAGTCTCTTCCTCAGGTGGGAGAGATCAGAACCGATTTAGGTGTGAATGTCAGTACTGCCACAGCCACGGGCCACATGTGGGTGGGATGCCTGCGGAGAGGAAGGGGGTCCCACTTCCTCCCTCCCGGGAAAGCCTCCTACAGGGCCTTGTGGGCTTGAGGCGCAGCCTGGGTCCCAGTCGGCCCGGCCTTCCCTCAGAAGGGCCGCTCCAACAGCAGCACGGACAGGACAAGCTCGAACTGGAGGGGCGGCAGGACAGCAAAAGCATGTTCCAGAGGCTCCTCAAACGGCGGTTGAAGGACAACTGACCATCGCACCTCACCTGACGGGTGCTGGGCGGGGGTTCCTTTTGGGGCCAAACAGTAAGGAATAGGCGGAGGATTAAGTCAACCAGTTTGACTGAAAACGCTTTTGGCATGAGCGTGCCCGGAGCCCAGGAAGGTCCTGGCCTTTTCTGGGGGGAATGGGACCGCCCTGCGGCGCTCTGAGGCCGGGAGGCTGCGCAGCAGTGGTCCTCAGCTCCTGTGTCATGGCTCCGTGACGCATGCAGTCACTTTTCACACCCGGTCTGTCTCCTCCCTGCGCTGCTCTCCTTGGACAGAAAGGCTCTGCAGTGCGAATGCCCTGCGATGCCCATGTGCTTCTGTGCCATTGCGTTGGCTGCCTCCGGGCAGCAGCCCAGTGAGTGCTCCCCTGCATGTGTGCTAATATGAGGTTGGTTTCACGCATCTCTCTTCAGTAAATGGGGATGGGAAAATGGACAGGCACATGCAAAACAAAAACAAAAAACTAGACCACCAACTTATACAGACACTAGAATAAACCCAAAATGGATAAAGGGCTTCAGTGTATGTCGTGAAACCATAAAATTCCTAGAAGAAAGCAATGGCAGCAATCCTATCAGACATTTCACTTAGCAATATTTTCACTGATACAACCCCTAGGGCAAGAGAAACATGGGAAAAAATAAACAAGTGGGACTGCGTCTAAATAAAAAGCTTCTGCACAGCAAAAGAAACCAGGATCAAAATCAAATGGGAACACACTGTATGGGAGAACATACTTGCCAATGATACATCTGATAAAGGGCTAATTTCCAAAATATATCAAGTTCTCATACGATTCCACAAAAGGAAGACAAAACAGTCCAACCACAAAATGGGAAGAGCGCCTAAATAGACACTTCTCCAAAGAGAACATAGAAATGGCTGAGAGACATATGACAACATGCTCAGCATCACTAATCATCGAGAGATGCCAATTAAAACGGCAATGAGATACCACCTCACACCTGCCAAATTGGCTACCAGCAGTAAATCAGCAAATGACAAGTGCTGGTGAGGATGTGGAGGAACAGGAACCCTGGTACAAGCTCTGCAGAAAACAGTGTGGAGTTTCCTCAAAAAATTAAAAATGGAACTGCCATTGGACCCAGTGATCCTCTTCTACGAATATATCCCAAGAAGCCTGAAACACCAATCAGAAAGGCAGAGAGATGCCAATTAAAACGGCAATGAGATACCACTTCACACCTGCCAAATTGGCTACCAGCAGTAAATCAACAAATGACAAGTGCTGGTGAGGATGTGGAGGAACAGGAACCCTGGTACAAGCTCTGCAGAAAACAGTGTGGAGTTTCCTCAAAAAATTAAAAATGGAACTGCCATTGGACCCAGTGATCCTCTTCTACGAATATATCCCAAGAAGCCTGAAACACCAATCAGAAAGAATATATGCACCCCTGTGTTCACAGCAGCACAATTTACAATAGCTAAGATCTGGAAACAGCCCAAGAGCTCACCAGCAGATAAATGGATAAAAAAGCTGTGGTACATTTACACCATGGAATACTATGCAGTAGTAAAAAAGAAGGGTCTCTTACCCTTTGAGACAGCATGGAGGGACCTGGAGAGCATTATGCGAGTGAAATAAGCCAGTCAGAGAAAGACAGGTATCACAGGCTCTCACTCATATGTGGCATCTAATGAACAGGATAAAGTGACAAACAAAATAGATCCAGAGACATGGAAGCATGGAACAGACTGAGGATCCTCAGAGGGAAGGAGGGGGAAGAGATCAATCAACGAACTAATATGAAAATATGCATAAACCATGGACACAGACAATAGTGGGGTGAAGGCCTGGGGAGGGGCAGGAGTGGGGAGGGGCGTCCATGGGGGAAAAAGGGGGCCTTATGTAATACTTTCAACGATAAAGACACATTTTAAAAACAAAGTGTGGAAAGGGGATGTGGAATGGGAACGTGGGGGAAAGGCCTGGTGAGGGGCAAGAGTGGGGAGGGGCGTCCATGGGGAAAAAAGGGGGCCTTCTGTAATACTTTCAACGATAAAGACACATTGTAAAAATAAGAAAGTGTGGAAAGGGGATGTGGAATGGGAACGTGGGGGTGCACCATTGTGGTCTTTGCGTAAGCCATTATGAATAGGACCCCAATGCAGGCAGATGTTCACTGCTCCCTATCACTGAGTCGCACTGCCCTAGGACAGTGGTTCTCAACCTTCTAATGCCGCGACCCTGCAATACAGTTCCTCATGTTGTGGTGACCCCCAATTTCATTGTTACAAATTGAACATAATTAAAGCATACTGATTAATCACAAAAACAATATGTAATTATATATATATGTTTTCCGATGGTCTTAGGCGACCCCTGTGAAAGGGTCATTCGACCCCCAAAGGTGTCGGGACCCACAGGTTGAGAACCGCTGCCCTAGGAGAGGTTTCTGATGGATAACTTCCTCCTGGCACCCAATAAAGATACGAATTAAAGGAAACTAACTTTAGAATTGAGGTTTCCTCACCCATCGTGTGGCCTGTTCTGTCAGATCTGCGACCACCACATTCCAGTCCCCGAGCAGCTGATCCCAGTTTATCCAGAGGAGCAGATGGGGATGGAGAGGAGGGAGGGCCCAGAGAACACGCACGGCACTGTTGGTGGCCTTGCAGCAGGACCAGCCTGCGATCCTCTGGGCAGAGGCAAAGGAACAGCATCCTGCAGGGCAGGGAGAGCTGGAGCAGAGGGCGTGCCCACAGGAGGGCCCTGCGGGTGGTGCTGGTGCCCCTGGCCTCAGGCTGCAGGGCCAGGCCTTGTTGCCTGGTGTCCCGGAGGTGAGCGGGAACAGCAGTTTCCTGCCTGTCCCAACAGAGGCAGCACGTCATTGAGTTACTAAGAGTCGGGATTGGGGCAGAATGCATTTCATTTCAGGAGGCACCAGTGATTAAATCTCTCCCCCACCTGAACCTGATCCTGTCTAACAAGGAAGTGACCGTGTTTGACTGGAGTGAAAATGAATTCTGCATTCTCTCCCTGTGCTTTCAGGTGCGCCCAGAGCTGTGTTGCTGCAAACACACGTCCGCGTCTGCAGACAGAAGTGGCTTGAGAACAGGTGCGTTTATTAGACTCTGAAGCTGTGACCTCAGCAGAGAGCAGGGGAGCTCCCTGGAGCCCGGCAAGCTGGTCTCACAGCCCTGGAGAGGAGGTCAGTGAGGCAGGGCGTGTCCCTCTTGAAACACAAGGGCCTGACTTCAGCCTGGTCATGGGGGGGCGGGGCGTGAGCAGGAGAACGTGGCATTTCGCTGTCATGGGTTCCTTACTAGGTGTGGCACCGTATGCTCCATGCTTCCACATGTCAGCTGACTTCCTCTTTTCCATAGACCCATCCTGGAGCAAGATTCCCGTCCCAGATGTGAGGTGGGCGCGCAGACTACAGAGGAGGTGGGGACCGTGCCCACTGGCAGAGGTCAGACGGGGATGGCCTCACTCCGGCAGCCACATCAGGTCAGGCCTGCCAACCACAATCCACCGTGTGCCCTGTTGACGGCTTCCGTCATCTCCCCTTGCCTCGCCCCTGCCTGCTAGGCTGGCTGTTGGCAGGGGGAGGGGGAGGAATGGCAGAGCTGGTCCCTGCCCTGGGCAATGAGCCTTTTCTCGGGGAGAGGGATCTGACACCGATGCATGCGGTGGGGAGCGCCTCGAGGGCCCCTGTGAGGCTTGGGGGGCAGGAGAAGAGCGGGGTGAGAAGGACCAGGGTTGGGTGAGGTGGCATGTGGCTTGCTGAGGGTGGTGCTACCGGCCCACCTCTCTACATGAGGGCGCACAGAGAAGGGGCCAGCAGGGGTAACGGGGGGAGTCAGCGGACACCCCCTATCTCCCCACCTAAAGGCCTTGTCCTCACGCCCACGTGTGGGGTACAGCAGGAGACATGGGGCCACCTGTGAGACGGCATACGGTCCCAAGTTACAGACTAGGGGCCAGAATCCAATGATGTGCACACACGTCCAGCGTGTCAAGTTCCAGGCCAGACATCAGAGGCGCCAGGAAGCAGGAAAATATTGGGAGAGAGTGGGGGTAGCGTAACACATGAGTCAATGTTTTCCAAATGCCAGAAATGGTCCATCTAGAGGCAGAAATTAGCTGGCAACTGGCCTGGGCCCGGAGATGGTCGTGGAGATGGACTGCGAACAGCAACACGGGGTCTCTTTGGGGCGATAGAAAGGTTCTGAAACTGGGGTGTGGTGACGGTGGCAGAACCCTTTAAATTTCCTACAAGTCCCTGCTGTGCACACTAACTGCCCGTTACACCTCGGAACAGGGGGTAGCGTAACCAGGAGTCAGTGTTTTCCAAATGCCAGAAATGGTCCATCTAGAGGCAGAAATTAGCTGGCAACTGGCCTGGGCCCGGAGGTGGTCGTGGAGATGGACTGCAAACAGCAACACGGGCGATAGAAAGGTTCTGAAACTGGGGTGTGGTGACGGTGGCAGAACCCTTTAAATTTCCTACAAGTCCCTGCTGTGCACACTAACTGCCCGTTACACCTCGGAACAGGTAATTGTGAAATGCACTGCGAATGCCCCAGCCATGGAGGCTTTCATGACACCAAGGACTCCCCTGCCTCTTGTGTGTTCTGTGTCCTCCATGCTCCACCAGAGGGAGGCACTGTGCCAAGGCCAGGAGGTCCTGCCTGCCGGATCCACCATCCTCTGGATCCTGCAGTGTCCTCGATGCTCCACCAGAGGGAGGCACTGTGCCAAGGCCAGGAGGAGAGCTGGTGAGTGTGCAGGCGCCTGTCTGCCTGTGTGTCCCTGAGTGTTCCTGCGCTGGCGCCCTTCAGGTGGACATAATGGTCGACTCACAATTCCACCGCCCAGGGCCGGCTCCCATAATCCACCCCGCGCCTGCAATTCCACTTCGGGGTTGCCTATTCTTCACGCCTCCCACAGACCCAGCTGCAGTTTCCCTGGCAACCAAGCTGGGCCCTTAGCTTCAGCCTCTAATCACAGGAAGGCACACAGAGTGGGGAGGGGTGTTGTCCCCGTCACAGAGCGCCCTCCCCAGCTCGGGACCCAGTGGGGATGCGCAGCAGAGCCGTAACCAAGACGACAGAATGCAGCTGCCTTTCCAGCAGCCAGGCCTTCTCCCTCCTCTCCGCCTGCCTGGTGTCAGGCAGCCAAGGGCAGGTGTGGCATAAACGCGCTCCTCAGTCCCAGCAATTGTTCTGAGTGTGAGTATAGGGTAAAGGAAAGATGCCATAGACATCTCTCAAAAGGCAAGACACATCACAGCGGATGAGCAAACCTGGCTGTAAGTCCAGGATTGTATTTGAAAGCAGTACAGCCGAGGCACTGGGGTGCTTAGGCTTCCCCACCACAGGGTGCCTCCACTGCCCCGGAGCCTCTTTAAAAGAGCAGGTCCTGGGCACCCCCTGCCCCCGCCCAGAGGCTGAGTCAGTAGGTCTGGATGTGGCCCCTGCAGGAGCCTCATTGAGTCCTCCTCCCGTGAGAGCCTAGGTTGCTGCCGTGGAAACAGCCATCCTGACGGGAGGAAGCCTAGCCCTGGGAATGGGAGACTCTTCCTTCCAAAGGAAGCGTGTTCTCCTCATGGCCTGCCGCGCTGGCTGACAGCTCACTCGGGATGAGGGGAGGAAGCCACGTGCCCAGGTAACTGTGTGCTAAGGCCAGCATTGTCCTTGCTCTCCTCCGCGGTCCTGGAACCAAAAGTGTGAAGTTGAAACCTTGCCTTCGCTAAGCAATCTCACTGCTTTTCATTTCCTGTCAGGATCCCTGTGCTTAGTTACTTTAAAAGTTTGTGAGACCGTGTACAGAGGCCGTCATGGGGCAGAGCACAGGAGTTCTGTGGGAAGTACAGTGAGCTGAGATTTTACCCGTCCATGCGAAGGACCAGCTGTGAGGCTTCTCCGTGACATTCGCTCAGGGGCATTTTCACTTTTAAAAAATATATATATTTTATTGAGTTTTTACAGAGAGGAAGGGAGAGGGATAGAGAGTTAGAAACATCGATCAGCTGCCTCTTGCACACCTCCTATTGGGGATGTGCCCGCAACCAAGGTACATGCCCTTGACTGGAATCAAACCCGGGACAATTGAACCCGGGACCCTTCAGTCCGCAGGCCGATGCTCTATCCACTGAGCCAAACGAATCAGGGCCATTTTCACTTTTTATGATCATATGTTTTCACGTTCATGCATGCTCTCCGGGACAGACCGCATAGGCCAGGATGTTCATGATGGAAACAAAAAGTGAACCAACCCTTGTTTCGTGCACAGCCGTGGACACTTCCGCAGCAAACATTCTCCTCCAGCCACGATGGGCACTGCTGCTATGGCCTGATCCCTGGAGTTCAAACAGCATCTGTGGAGTTCCTGAAGAAGGTGAGCATCTCAGTGGGTTGGGACTATTACAGGGTGCAGGTTCTCCCTGGACTTCCTGTAGGGGCCCAGCCAAACCAGGACATAGGTGCCATCAGTGACTGGAAAGAGGGAGCCCTCACAGGGGGAATTTACCAACATCCGTGGGAACATGAAGATCATGGTTTAGCCTTTTCCAGAGCAGGGCCAGGGGAGGCATGGGTAGGGGAGGTCACACCTAGCGGCATTCCTAGGATTTTGGTTTAAGGACATGGGTAGATGGCAGAGCCCGCCCATGACACAGGGCACATAGGTTTCAGGTCCCCTGTAGAATTGCAGGGCTTGTGTGACATCTGAGGGGAGGTGCCCACAGGTCTCAGCCTGAGGGGTCTCTGTGGTCCACCTGAGATTGCTTAGGTCAGTAGTCAGGAAACCGCAGCTCACGAGCCACATGCGGCTCTTTGCCCCTTGAGTGTGGCTCTTCCACAAAATACCACGTGCGGGCACGCACGTACAGTGCGATTGAAACTTCGTGGCCCATCCGCAGAAGTCGGTATTTTGTGGAAGAGCCACACTCAAGGGGCAAAGAGCCGCATGTGGCTCGTGAGCTGCGGTTTCCTGACTACTGACCTAAGCAATCTCAGGTGGACCACAGAGACCCCTCAGGCTGAGACCTGTGGGCACCTCCCCTCAGATGTCACACAAGCCCTGCAATTCTACAGGGGACCTGAAACCTATGTGCCCTGTGTCATGGGCGGGCTCTGCCATCTACCCATGTCCTTAAACCAAAATCCTAGGAATGCCGCTAGGTGTGACCTCCCCTACCCATGCCTCCCCTGGCCCTGCTCTGGAAAAGGCTAAACCATGATCTTCATGTTCCCACGGATGTTGGTAAATTCCCCCTGTGAGGGCTCCCTCTTCCCAGTCACTGATGGCACCTATGTCCTGGTTTGGCTGGGCCCCTACAGGAAGTCCAGGGAGAACCTGCACCCTGTAATAGTCCCAACCCACTGAGATGCTCACCTTCTTCAGGAACTCCACAGATGCTGTTTGAACTCCAGGGATCAGGCCATAGCAGCAGTGCCCATCGTGGCTGGAGGAGAATGTTTGCTGCGGAAGTGTCCACGGCTGTGCACGAAACAAGGGTTGGTTCACTTTTTGTTTCCATCATGAACATCCTGGCCTATGCGGTCTGTCCCGGAGAGCATGCATGAACGTGAAAACATATGATCATAAAAAGTGAAAATGGCCCTGATTCGTTTGGCTCAGTGGATAGAGCATCGGCCTGCGGACTGAAGGGTCCCGGGTTTGATTCCAGTCAAGGGCATGTACCTTGGTTGCGGGCACATCCCCAATAGGAGGTGTGCAGGAGGCAGCTGATCGATGTTTCTAACTCTCTATCCCTCTCCCTTCCTCTCTGTAAAAAATCAATAAAATATATATATTTTTTAAAAGTGAAAATGCCCCTGAGCGAATGTCACGGAGAAGCCTCACAGCTGGTCCTTCAGCATCTGTAAGGCTAAGCCTGTGGATGAGACTGGCCTCGGTCACTCACACCTGCTGGTGATGAGGCCGTGCTCTGGGGTCCCTGAGATGAGGAGCAGCGGGGCCGGGCCATGGGGCAGTAGAGAGGAGCTCGCTTCTGGTTCTGGTCCCTGCGGAGGTGGGCATCCATCTCCCCACAGATCCCCACAAAGGGCACGGTGGGTTGTTAGAAGGGCAGGGAGAAACATGACTCAAGTCTTCAGCATCTTACCGAGGGCCACAGGTCTCAGGCCGCCATGAGACAACTGTGAGCCTGTGCTCTCGGGTGAAGGAGCAGGGTCCAGTCCCTGAGATTTCTGCCGCTGCTACCTGGGCACAGCCGGGCACTCTAACCACTCAAGGTCTTTGTGCAGGAGTCCGTGTTTTCCCAAAGTCTTCACCCCTGTGTGGGGGTGAGGGAGGTTAGGACCAGAGCTGAGACAGCAAACGATGAGGAAAGGGGCTGAGGCGGACCATGATGGAAAATGGAAGAACCAAGCCCTTCCTACAAATTGACCCTTTCAGTCACCAGGTTGAGACAACAGGATCCCAGTGGCTTCTTGGGGACAAGTCCCTGGTTCCCCTTGAGAGACTCCAGGGCCTCAGACCCTTTCTGTCCCCTTAAGAAGAAGGGGGTAGAGGGTATGGTTTTCTGAGCTGCAAGAACCCAATGAGGGAAATGGGGTATAAATGCTTCCTAAGTCACATGATCCCAGGAACAGGGACCCCCAGGTGTCCTGTACAGTGGACACTATTTCTGACATTGACTTGATGGTTTTGCATTATTCCATGGGCTCTCCTCTGTAGAAAACACACTCCAGTGGCCAGGGTACCTGAATTGCTCAGAAGTGGAGACCTGAGACCTGCCCATCACTAGGAGGGTTTGATGGCTGCTCCCCCCGGACAAAAGGCTGTGCTGTGCTCAGGGCAGGGATGTGTACAACACAAGGGCCGGGTCCCCCTTGAAGAATAGATTGTCTGAGGACAGCGGGCTGGGCAAGACATCCTGGGAGATGCTCTGGGTGTGTCAGCCGGATGTAAATGCTTCCTAAGTCACATGATCCCATGTACAGGGACCCCCAGGTGTCCTGTACAGTGGACACTATTTCTGACATTGACTTGATGGTTTTGCATTATTCGATGGGCTATCCTCCGTGGGAAACACACTCCAGTGGCCAGGGTACCTGAATTGCCCAGAAGTGGAGACCTGAGACCTGCCCATCACTAGGAGGGTTTGATGGCTGCTCCCCCTGGACAAAAGGCAGTGCTGTGCTCAGGGCCTGGTCCCCCTTGAAGAAGAGATTGTCCGAAGACAGCGGGCTGGGCAAGACATCCTGGGAGATGCTCTGGGTGTGTCAGCAGCTCTTGTGATATTTACTCAGGCATCTCAACTCAGAGAGGACACTGGAATGATTCACCTTCAAAGAAATAAGGAGGAAAGCAGCGCCTTCTCCTGCCGGGGTCCAGCCCCGGAGGTCCAGGGGTTCCCAAAGGTGTTGACGGAGTCGCCGAAGAATGTTTTACACGGAGACAGCGTTCAGAACTCTCTAGCTCTTTTTAGTCTCCGTGGATCTTCCTGTGCCTGGCTGAGGCCGGTCACAGAGAAAGATCCTGAGGCAAGCTGAGCCTTTATTTTTTTAGTCAGAGGTAAACAAGGTAGTGGTTACCAAAGTTACACTGTTCTTGTGAGTTTCACTTGTTTACACTGTTCTTGTGAGTTTCACTTGTTTTTGTTCCTGTTCTTGCTGCACTTCCCTCAGCCCATTAGCTTCCCAGGTAAGATCTAGGGAGCGTTATAAGGTCAAGCCTAAATATGCTAAGAGGACTGTGCCCTCTAAGCTGTGACTTGTTTGTGACTTTGCCAACAGGTCAGTCCGAGGCTTAACCCTATATTGGCTCCCCACATTCTCCTAATAAGAATACTGACGTTCTGCACCTCCCCCAGGCTTCCTTTCCTGCCAATGGAAACCTTTTCTGCAGCCCAGCTCCAGGACACCGGCCTTGCAGTGATGGCCCGTGCTGTTACAGGAGAAGGAGCCCAGCATGGCCTGTGGAGGCGAGGACGGCCTGGAGGAGGCCCTGCTGCCCTCAGTGGCACCCTCATCAGCTCCTCCTCTCGGTGAGTCTGTCTGGGCCTCTCCGCCCGCTGTGATCTGTTTTAGGGTCCGTTCAGGGCAGGCTACACGCTGTCCTGGTTAAGGGCAGGGGGAGGCAAGGACCCCCAGGTCGCCTCTCACAGGGACAGACTGGAAGGTGGGCACAGGAGCACCTGTGGGTAAGGTGTGCCGACATCCCAGATTCACAGGGGCTCCTCTGACTGCACCGGCACTTGGGTTTATGCCTTCTGCCCGACTGTGCTGATCTTCAGCAGCAGTGCCCGCCTCTGAACGGGAATATTCGTGAGGGGAGAAGAGGACGCTGCCTTTGCTTCTAATCTGCTAACTGAGCTAAGATGCAACATGGGCGTGGTCCATGTGTACAAATGCTCAGTGACCTCAGTGAGAATGCTCACTCTCAGATCTCTACCCCACATCTCCAGGTCCTTCCCATTGGGAGGAGCACGTGTGGCCTGTGAGTCTGTGTGATGATGCGGGAACGGGACCTATGACACACCTCTATGGCTCACAGTGCCCCAGGTGGTCTCTGTGGAAAGGACACCTCTTTAAAGTTTATTTTTAATGACAGTTTACATTCCATATGACTTTGTATTAGTTGCAGGGGTACCGCATAGCGGTTAGACAGTGATATACTTTACAAAGTGTTCTCCCGATATTCCCAGTACCTTCCTGGCACCATACACACTTATTACAACACTAGAGGCCTGATGCACAAAATCTGTGCAAGGTGCTTGGCCCTCGAAGCCCCGGCTGCCTCGCCAGCCCTTGCAGCCCCGGCTTCATCCGGAAGGTCTTCTGGACAGTCGTCCGGGAGGATGTCCGGACAGTCTTTCTGCTGTTCAGTCTAATTAGCATATTAGCTCTTTATTATATAGGACTATTAACTATAATCCCTACGCTGTACATTATAGCCCCACGACTGTTATAACGACCACTTTGTAATTCTCGGTCCCTTCCCCCTATTCACCCAGTCCCCACCCCCTCTCCTTGGCAACCATCCGTCTCGTTCTCTGTGTCTATGAGACTGCTTCTGTTTTGCTTTTTCATTTATGTTGTGCTTTCGAATCCATATGTGAGTGCACTCCTATGGTAGTTGTCTTTCTCTGACTTATTTCTCTGAGCATAACACCTTCAAGGCCCATTTACTTGGAGCCTCTCTGCACGTCTTGACTCACCTCCCTTGTCTGAGCTGTTACTTCCCCGTCTCTGCTTCTGTGGGCCGTACTCCTGTGACTGCAACGGACACTCTCTTCTGGGGCTTGTCTTTCATGTTGATGAAGATTTCACATGCTCTATCCAGGTCAGTGGGGCAACTGTGCAAATGTGTACCTTGTCACAAACAATATGAGCACCGTGGGCACATCACCCCTCCCCTCAAAAATATTAAATGCAGCAGAGTGATAAAGAATGCAATGGTCACATGGGACCAATATGACTGACTGATTGTTTTCTAAGATGAGCATAGAAAAGTGATTGTGGCTCAGAAAACGTGTTGGCCTTGAGGAGACCAGTTGCAGTGGAGTGATAGGCAAAATAAGTCGTATTGAAGGGAATGGAGGAGCAAATGGTCTCAGGAGGAGTTGAAGCAGTTTGGCTTTGGAATTAATACATCAACGTGCCAGTAGCTGCAAAATGACATGTGGGATGGAGGTTGGCTTGCCCCCATTTGTTGTGGGATGGTCCAATGTACAAAGAGCAGGTGATACTTTAGGAGACGGCTCATAAGTGCAGGAGCAAAGTCCCTGAGCAGGTGGGAGGCATGGGATCCCGAGCACAGGTGAGGGTCTGGCTGCACTCAGGAGCAGGTATGCTCAGTGGAAGCAGAGTCACAGAAAAAACAGGTCCATTGAGTTTGGGAAGCACTGAGGAGCTCGACCTCAGTGCTTCTGTGTGCTGCAGGCAATAGTAGTGGAGGTCAGTGGGATGAAGTATGATAGCTAGTGAGTGAGGTAGTGGTGTAGGTAGAGTGAGAGGGAAAGTGAGAAGCAATGCCCCCTGGTTATGCAGTTAAGATAAACAATTCAGTAAGGTTTATATTTTTCTCATCAAACTCAGGTGCTCAGGCACAAGCAGGCTGTGTCCCTATGGGGCACAACAGGAGAGTAGGAAGGTGGTGAAAGGAGCAAGAGAGTTGTTTTGGAGCAGATTATATACCCCGGGGTAGGCTGTAGAGAAGAGGCCTGGTGGAAGGCGGGGGAGGCTGTGGGCTCTACAGTGGAGGCACCAGAGGGGTTCAAGGCTGCCTAAGCAGGTGCATTAGAAGGGAGGGAGCTAGACACCCAGGGAAGGTCTTGAAGCGACAAGAGAGGGGAATGCTAGAGAAGGACGTCATGGAGGGCCCCGAACTTCCGATACCCAGGGCATGACCTTGGCCGGGGGTGCTCGGCTGGGTAGCAGGAGAACCTTCTGGACTACTGCAGAGGTCCGAGTTGTCTGTGCTGGGCTCCCGTGCCCCGAATCCCAGGAGGGTTCTGCGGAGTGAGGTCTGAGAGGACCAATGACAACAGACCAGTGTGTCCACAAGCTGGGGAGAGGCCGTAGGGTGACGACCAGGGGCGGTACCAGTCCTGCTGGTGGGGCAGAGCAGCGACTAGGGCCGCCGGGCCACAGGAATCTCAAAACTCCTGCCTGATCCGCAGCTGATCCTTTGCTGCAGGATCCAGACTAAACCTCCAGCAGATGCTGGCAGAGAAGTGGGCAGAAACCTCACTGCGCACCAACGCGCATGCCCCGAACCCGCCAATGAGCGCGCAGAACCGGCCCTTCAGTACGTCATTCCTGTGCGCCTGTCCCGCTTGTGTCTGTGTTGAGGGCTCCGAGGGCCTCTTCCCTGAGTTTGTCCGCGTTCCCTCTGTTACGGGACCCTCCTCTCCACCCAGTCAGCCTTCCTCGGCCCCGGTCCCTCTGGCTCCACCAGCAAGTCCGCGGGAAACACGGATTTCCCCCCGAGATCGGGGCCCCGGTGTGTCCGACCAGCAGAGGGCAGTGGAGGGCCGTGCGCGGGCCAGCTTCCCTCCGCCCCGCCTTTCGGGCTTGAAAAAAACACGGGAGCAGAGAGCAGGGAAAAGTCCTAACCGCCCTTTGCAGGGCGGCCAGCATGCTCTTCCCGCAGCTCCTGGGGCACAGTGGTTCCTGCAGTGGCTAGTGAGCGGTTTCCTGTGTGATCAAAACCACTTGCTTTCCAAATGGACGATTCTTCCAAAGTCCTTCCTGGGTTACTTAGCAACTTGCAGTCACCTACTCTGAAGGCCAGAGTCACCGGCTTTCCCCAACTGTTGGGGGTTTTCTGGGCCTTTTCAATACAGTGCTCAATAATGACAGTCACTCAGACCTCACTAGGAAACAAAGTCATTCAAAAGACAGCCCCATCACCCAATATCGACCATTAGGAATATTTTGTGATCAATTTCTTAGAGATTTTGCACCAAACACCAGGTTCATTTTAAATATACTAAGGGTCATTTTTGCATCAGGACTTCACCTCCTCTTTTTAAACTCAGTTATTCCTTTTGGAAAGTCATTTTTAGATTGTTAGTTATATTACTGAAAAAATAAGGGAGGCATACTGCAAACTGTTGGAAGTGTCTGTAAATCTGAAGTTGAACATGCAATGATCTATGATCCAGAAGCAGCAGTTTCTGTGTGAGAGCAGGGGTTGCAGTGCCGGTGGTCTGCACTCTTTTCTCTCAGCACCAGGAAGAGTACCAGCAGTTAGTGGGTTCTCAGTAAATATCTTGAGACGAGAGCCCCAGTGCACAAAATTCGTGCACAGGTAGGGTTGAGAGCAGGGGCTGCAGTGCGGGTGGGCTGCACTCTTCCCTCAGCACCAGGAGGAGTACCAGCACTTAGCAGGGCTCAGGAAATACTGGGAGATGTTTTCAAAAATTTACTTTTGTGATCGTTTTTCTTTTTATGTATCTAAGATCCATCTTTTGCTAGTCCTCAATTATTATAATGTACAAACAGTTTTCTACATGTTTGCTTTTTTTAAAATTTGGCTCTTTGTGGATCAGCATTTCTCTGTCATTAGCATTTCTTAACATCAGATTTTCTGACTTACATTCCTGGGTGAAGGAATGTAGCAATATGTAGCAACTTGTAGGATCCTGTGCAAGGCAAATTGTCTAAAATGTGGGTGTGTGTTTATTCAAAAAGTTTTCATACCATTATTGTTTATATTTCTAAAACCGTGTAGGAGTAGTGGACAAAACATTTGGCTCAGTATCAGCAAAGTTGAATTTCAAGAAAATACAGGAATGGCATACTATCAACCATAAAAACTTCACAATGACTGTAAAAATGAAAGTGATATGCAAAACATGTTGAAAGTGCTTGGGATGTTGGTGATTACTCTTCCTTTGTCTTTTCTCTGTCTTCTTAAATGGCTAAAATCAGACCAATTTCCCTTAGGGCCTGAGGGGAAAATAATGGAGTGACTAAATGGTAAATTTCAGTGGGTTCTGTAAATCCCCAGGCCCACTGGACAGAAGCAGAGAGCAGTTGGCCCTTACCATGGGGATAATAAAGTAAGGATGCTGGAGGACAGACAAAACAAGTGGATTTCCTACGTTGAAAATACAATGTTAAGCAAAAACAAAGCCAAAAAGATAGCTCCCATCCTTAGGAAGGTAACAGTAGGGTGTTTCTCTTTGAGATAGGAGTCACGGTTTATTTCTGCTTTTTATCACCATTATCAAATATCGCATTTTCACTCTTTAAGACTATATAGGCTACTAAGAAAAAAAAGGAATAAAAATTACTCAAGTCCTTACAGATTATTTTTAGAACACCTAACTCACATGAAAAACCTGAGTTTAATACAATATGTTATAGTCACAATGTAATAAGAATCTCCTTCTGTGTGCAATGCACCTTTATGGATGGGAAGACCTCTAAAGAAATGGATTACACATTATTAATGGTCATCGGCGGGTGATAAAACTGGGGTTTAGATTACTTTATTATACGTTATCAGTCTTCCAAATATTCTACATTGAGGTTTGCGTGCTTAGGGCTAACTGAAAAAAATATACTGGTTCAAAGCCAATGGGAAGACCATTCAGAGAATCAGAAATACATGAGGCTAAGGAACCTAGGCACCTCATTTTCACTAAGACTGCCAAGAATGGAACAGTTCAGCCCCAGGAAGGAACCAGCCAGCTCCTGTGCAGAAACAATTGAGCAATTCTTCCAGAAATGGCTCCCAGCATTTTTTCCAAACACAAAAGGAGGGGGAGAGAGGATTTCGTGGCTCCATGCTGCCACCTGCTGATCAGAGAAACTCAGAGCCATGATTCTTGCAAGAAAATTCCCATTTTCCCCTAGATTTCCAAAATAACAGGACAGAGGATGTCTCAAAAAACATACCTGATGACAGTTATGGTCAGAAACAGTAGAGATTAGCCCAAGGGACGCCTGTAAAACAACACCAGCACCACCTCTTCCATAGTCCCACCCTCAGAACTGAGGAATTTAGAATGAAGTGTCTGGTCCCAGAGCCCACCCCAGAGGATCCAGGGCTGAATTTCCATTGGAGGTTCTAGGCCTGGAGGGGAAGAGAGGGCAGTGGAAGTCTCTGAGCCTCTCTCAGCTAGGTGTTTCCCCTGTTGTAAACTTTCAGTTGATGGACAGGGCCTGTGATGTCCAGGTCCTGTGACTTGACTGCCCAAGCCACCTCACTTAATGGTCTGTGCCAATTCCCTGCTCACCCTGTGCCTGCCCTAGCCTTTGTACAGGCCGGTCCTTTGGAACTACCATCTACCTGATCTCAGAACTCATTCTTGAGACACCTCCTGATGATATCGGGGCCCAGTAGCCTAAGTCAACAACCATGGAGACTCTCACCTCAGGGTTATTTTCCATGTGATCACCTGAGCATCACCATACACAGGATCATGCCTTGAACCAAAGGAAACCACCTGCCCTTCCATGATGTCCGCTTCTAGCATTCCCCTCTGTCAACACCTCACCACTGTGCAAGGCTCAACCAGCTCCCTCCTAATCTCTCTGCTTAAATAACCTTCAATGTCATGCGGGCCTACAGCTAGGAACCCACAACCTTCCTCACTTCCACAGGCCCCTCCTTACTCAGCCTACTCCAGCCTATAAACTCCCCATCTAACATAGCTCTCTTGCTCCTTTCTCCCCCCTCCACACTCTCATGCTGTGTCCCCGCCTGTATGTGAGCACCTGAGCATTGATGACAAAAACACAAACCTCACTGAATTGTTCATCTTATATGCATCACCAAGAGACCAATGCCTCTCACTGTCACCCTGCTCCAACCTCCATCACTACCTCACTCACCAGCACCCTCTTCCATTTCAATGGGGAAGACAGAAGCAATGAGGGTGACTTCTCGCAGGTCCCAGATCCAACCGAGCGGGTCTCTGCCCTGACAGTCTCTGCTGAGCCTGAGCATACCTGCTCCCGCCTGCAGCCAGCCCTCACGCGTGCTCCGCATCCCAGGTCCTCCGCCTGCTCAGGGACTCTGCTCCTGCACTTACCATCACTCCTCTCCTGAACTGTCACCGAGCAGGAAGGGAGAGGAAACCCAAAGGGGATCTACAGAGCCTATACGTGGCTTCCAAGGAATCAGCACATGGGTATTAGAAGCAGAGGGCTGTTGGCTTTTCGGTATGTTATTTACCACCCCAAAACAAGACAACACCCCAAGACGCAGGTAGCAGACAGCCCTAAGGATCCTGAGGACACTGACACAAGGCAATGTTCCAGAGCTGGCATGAACCTCAGAGGAGATGCGTTAAGTGAGGGCGGATGATCAGGGGTTTCAGGGAGCACTGGGTCTACAAAAAGACCCCGTCCTCACGCCTGCTCCCATTCTTTGTCCTGATCTAGGACGAAACCCACAAGGCCACGAGTTTGACCTGCTTGCGACTGGCAGCTACCTCACTGGACTCCTGCGCGCGTGCCCAGAAGCCGCCAATCGGGATGCAGCACCTTGTCCTGTTAGCAACTTTCTGAGTTGCCTGGACTTCAAGCCCCTGTTATGGTGGTTCCCAGAGCTACTAGGTAAGTAGTCTTGCTGGACCTTTTGAGCAGGTACTGAAGCCCCTCCCCTTCCCCTTTGACATAAGCACCCTGGGGAGATCAGACCTGGCTGGGCATATCTGCTCAGCAGACTGATGTTACCTACAGTTTGCAGCCTTCAGTTTCTCTGGACAGTAGAGGGCAGTGGTGCATCGTTTTCCACGCCAGGCCTCCTCTCCCCCGCCCTTTGTGTCTGAAAAAACATACTTGTGTCTTTTCCAGAATTGGTAGATACTTTCTCAGCCCCAGCAGCTTCCCTGCCTTAGCAACCACCTTCACTAAATTGCTCCTTCAGGGGCTTCACAGGTGAAACTTCTAATCTGCAGACTGGAACACTTTGCCTTTCAGATCGCCTGTTCTTCTAAGCTGCTGCCTGGGTTGTTTAGCAACAATTATTTCTGTTTCTCTGGGGCGGATCCTCATCGGCTTTCCCCAACTCATTTTGGGTTTTATGGGCCTTAATGCATACACTAGAGGCCCTGTGCACGAAATTCCTGCAGGGGGTGTGTGGGGGTGTCCCTCAGTCCTGCCTTCGCCCTCTTGCAATCCTGGGAAACCCTCTTGCAATCCAGGATTTCTCCGGTAGAGTCCCTAGGCCTGGCCAGCAATCAGGGCCTATCTGGGCTTTCCTTCCCCAGGCTGCCAGCAGCTGGCCCCGCTCCCGCCGCTGCCACTGCTTGTCATCTGTGCAGTGCTGCCCTCCACTCCCCCGCCACCTGTGGCCTCCCTCTGTGGGTGACAGGCGTGGGGTGTGATGGCTTGGCTGGCCTGGGCCTCCCTCTGTGGGGCGGATCTGGTGCCCCAGATCCATTGCTACACAGAGGGAGGCCCCGCCCATCCAGGACAGTGCCTCCAGCCGCCTCCTGGTGGCCATGGCCTCCCTTTGTGGCTGCCAGCCAGGTGGCCTGGGCCTCCCTCTTTGGGGCGATGGATCGCAGAGTCCCCCCATCAATTTCCTGCAGAGGGTCATCCAAGCATTCGTTCTGCTGTTCCTTTGTTCAATCAATTTGCATATTATGCTTTTATTACTATAGATAATTCAATGATGGCAGTCACTCAAACCTCACTGTAGAAAATTGGATGGGGGAGGGATAAAATATAATAAAGTTATTTAATCCACGTTCCTATCCTCCAATAATAACCATAAAGAGTGTTTTGGGGTCAATTTCTTAGAGATTTTTCATCAAACACAAGGTGCATTTAAAATACACTAAGGTTCTTTTTTGCATCAGGACTTCTACCTCCCCTTGTTAAACTCAGTTATTCCTTTTGGATTATAATGCACAAAGACTTTTCTACATGGTGTTTTATTTTTATATTTGGCCCTTGGCACATGAGCATTTTCCTATGTCATTCCCATTTCTTAAAGTCATATTTTTTTTTACCTCGGCCAGGTAAACTCCTGAGACAGATGCTGGTGAAAAGCAAAGTGGTCCATTGAGTGTGGGACACCTGGGAAAACAGGGACTCTTGTCTCAAAGCCCATCGCCACATGACCCCATCTCAGTGCAGGCAGGGATTTTACAGGCAGAGAGAGGAAAGCAGAACAAAGACATCGAGGGCAGGGGTTGCAAAGTGGTACGTGGCGGCCAGCACGGTACACGCCGATAAGCATCTTGAAACCTGTCAAGTGATGGTCTGGTGTGCGTCATGCTGGTCCTCATCATGCTGGCTCTGGGGCGGAAGGTCAGCAGTTCCCTGGGAACTGGGATGACTGAAGGACACACTCTGTATGTTTTCAAGTTAGTTCCCAGGATTCTTGGACAAACATGCAGCTTATCTACCAGCTGCATTTACAGAAAGAATGTGAAAAGAATGGTGGGTGGGCTACAGCTTCCTACTGTTACATTCCCAAGTGAAGAATTTCCTTTACACCCGGAGGGAAAAGTAATGGAGTGGATATGTGACGGGTCACCTCAGTGGGATTTGTAAACTCCCATCCCCTCCCAACAGGATCAAGGGAGCAGTTGGCCATCCCTGTGGGGCCAAGCCAGGTTGGGAGAAGACACACACAACAAGTGGGTTTCATGCAAGCCTTGTCTGCCAAACTCAAGTGACCTTTAGCATGGAAATGGTAGAACAAGTCTGGTCAGTGGAAACTACCACTGTCTTGTTCTTTGAAGTCAAATCCTCTCTTACCTGCCCTGCCCCAACCCCTCCAACCCTTGCCCCTGCCATCTGTTCTGAAGACGAGTTTTGTTCCCACAGCTGCCAGGTTCTTTTCTTTGAAAATACTGTGCCTTTGTGTGTGGAGTTTAAAATAATCTTCATGCTTGGGCGACCTTCTGAGTCGGAATCTGCGGTAGAACATTTGAGGTAAGAGAAAGCTAAAGCCACAATTGAGGGAGAAGTTTATAGAGGAGCATCTACGGGTGCTAATACCACTAGTCCATAAGCACAGAGGAAAGGTCCATTAGGGGCCTGGGAAGGAGAAATCCTCTCTAATGTGTTGGCTACTGTGAAGTATCATTTGTTCTGGGTCACCCCTTAGTTGGAGGTAGGCAGGGGAATGGAGTTAGAAAAATAGGGATGAAAATAACAGGACAGGCAGATTAGGAAGGGCCTTGTCAGTTTTGTACCAAAGAGTGAAGCCACGCAGGGAAAAAATGACCCTGTAGATATGGCTACATAAAGTAAGTAAATTTATCCCTGCATCTGAAAGCCACAGACATAACTAAGAGGAAAACAACAACACACACACACAACAACAGGAAAAGAACTTGCACCATATATGACAGAATGGCGGTCTCTTTCTATACATACAACTGTTAAAGGAAATGCGCTGAGTATTTTCAAAACACAAACAGGTTCTGGTGTGAGTATGAAGGAACAAGAATTCTCACAGAATGTGGGTGGCAAGACAAATGGATCTGTGTTTCTTGCAGTGCGCACCAAGCCTGTTGCGTGTTTACGCCTTCAATCCAGAACTCTACTTCTGAAACTCTATTCTAAACAACCCGAGGCGGTTAAAATATGGATGCACCACAACATGCTTTTCACATTCCGGGGGGTAGTCTTTGAGGAAGGTATCAATGTGCTTTCCTCATATATATCTTCTTCATTGAATTTCCCTCCAAGTCACTATTGAGTCTTCCTCCCACAAAGCAGAGTGGCCAGTTGAAGTCACCTGCTGCATGTAAATTACAAGAGTGCCTGCCTTTTATCACACTTGGGCTTGTGGCTGGAAACTCTGTACCGGCTACACGCATTACAGGGAAAATTGCAGATAGCACCAGCAGTGGTGCCATGACATCTCCAACTGCCCAGCTCCGCCCTGTTGGGGGATTTATGCTGGCCACCACCCCGTGAAGCACAGGCTGTTCCCGCCCTCATCTGATACCTGTGGAAGCTGGCACACAGTCAGGGGTCTCGGGGCTCCTCACAGAGGGCCCCATAGTTCAGTCAGATGCTACAGATCACACACTGCTTTGCAGGATGCCTTCCTGCCCCCAACACCAGAGGCTAATAAAAGACTCACTGGGGAAGAGGGTAAAAGAGCCGGCAAAACTTTTCAAAGCATGTATGACTTAGTTATTGCTCACAATCGAGTCCTCAATGGAAAGGAGGGGGGTGGGGGAAGCCATGTAGGAGGTGTTTCATACATATCATCCCAGCATTAGGGAACAGTTCAGTATTTACAAAGAAAAGAACCTGAAGGAAATTAATAGGTGCTCATTTCTTTAATAAAAAAAAAGTGTACTGAGAACACACTGCTTCCCCCTGTTTTATTGAGAAAGAATTGGCACACATCACTGTGTAATTTGACGGTGTACAGCATGATCATTTGGTTTACATATATTGTGAAATGATTGCCACAATAGGATTAGCTAACATCCATCTTCTCCTGCTCACAGAATATTGCCATAAAAGCCGAAACCGGTTTGGCTCGGTGGATAGAGCGTCGGCCTGCGGACTGAAGGGTCCCTGGTTCGATTCCGGTCAAGGGCATGTACCTGGGGTGTGGGAACATCCCCAGTAGGAGATGTGCAGGAGACAGCTGATTGAAGTTTCTAGCTCATCGATGTTTCTAACTCTCTATCTCTCTCCCTTCCTCTCTGTAAAAAATCAATAAAGTATATTTTTTTAAAAGATTAAAAAAATATTGCCATAAAAAGAAAATAGAGAAGAAAAGAGAACAATTTTCTCCCTGTGGTGAGAATCCTTAGGATTTATTCCCTGAACAACTTTGCTATGTATTATACAGCAGTGTTAGCTACAGTACTCATGTTTACATTATATCCCTCGCCCTTTTTTATCTTATAACTCAAGTTTCTACCTTTTGATCACCTTCCTCCAGTTTCCCTTTCCCCCACTCTCCGCCTCAGGCAACCACAAGTCTGATCTCCGTTTCTAGGACTTTT